CTGGCAGGAGTTCTGGTTTTACCCAAGGGTGTTGTGGATGGAGAAGGGTCAGACATGAGCCCACACCCTGGCAGGAGTTCTGGTTTTACCCAAGGCTGTTGTGGATGGAGAAAGGTCGGAGCATGAGGTCCCAGGTGCAAGCAGAGAGCCCCAGGGCCTGGGGGTTCTGGCCTCTGAGTTTCACAATGTGCCCTCCTCAGCTCTGCAAGCGCCCTGCCCACACCCAGTGGTTCTTCCTTCTGCAGAAAGGCACTTCTTCCTGTCCTCTGTTAATCATGTGGCAACGGCAGGCTAGGCGCACAGTCCTGTGTGGTTACCCAGTGGAAACAAGCCTGCTCCCAGGAGCCGGGAGGTGGCTGCTGGGACTGAAACTGCCCTGCAGAGGCTGGCCAAGGCCCTCATGGCCCTGATATGAAGACCCGCAGGGGTTGGCTGAAGTGGCTGGAACCTTGGCTGCTCTGCTGACCTGCCGTGTGGTCCAGGACATTCATTAACCCTCTCTGAGCCCTTGAATCTTGTTTGCAGTATATGGACAGCATAGTTCTCTGCTTCTGTGAGGCATAAACAGAATGATGAGCTGCTACCACCCGGCCCTGAGTGAGGGAGCTCAGTAACACCTTGCAGGCCACATTTCTACAAAATGGGGGAACCCCACCCTGAGTTACAAGGCTGTGTGCCCCGAATCTTTGTAGGTGTCGACAGGTTTCCTTTGTCCCTGTAAAGTGCTGTAGCTAACGTAGGAAGTGGAAGCAGGGGTGCCTCCGGCTTCCCCAGGCTTCCTGAAATCCCCCCCACCCTGGAACCAACTCATCCTATTGCTGAGGCTCAAGGCTGGGGGTGGGGCAGGGGGCAGTTGTCCATCTGCGATCCTTGTTTGTTTGTGTGGGCCAAGGAGTGTGGGCTCCATTTCCAAGGGAGGAAACAGTTCTCTTTGGGGGAAAATAAGTGCCTTCCTCTGCATTGAAACCCACAGCCCTGGGCTCTGCCTGAGGCTCCGGGCATCTGCTCCACCCTGGAGCGAAGGCTGCAGGGCTTCTAGGAGGCCCCTCCTTCATGACTGTCCTGGGCAGGCAGCTGGACCTGCAGAGCCCCAGGCCTGTCTTGCTGCCTCACCTCCTGAAGGGACTGTCTGGCTAGGAGGAAAGGGGCCAGGCTTCCATTGGTGGCTGTCACTCTGGGCTCACTGTGCCAAGGGCTCACCTTCTGCCTTGGAGCTCCACAGACACCTATTTAACAGCCATATGTGCCAGGCAGGACTCCCGCTCAGGACCTGTGATGTAGAATCAGTCTGGTCACATCCGCACGGGTCTGGCATTCTCAGCACCCCAGGGACAGTGACAGAGCTGGGAGGCAGATCAAGTGTGTTGGAGCCGTGGTCGGGTGCCTGGGCTCCGACAGGGCCTCCCTGAGGCCGGCCAGGCTCTAGGAGAAGCAGCCTCCTCCACCTTCCGCATCATGCTCTTCTGTTTCTCAGGGTCATGGAGACCCGGGTCTGGACAGCTCTCCCGATTGCTGATGAAATAAACGTAGCTCATACCCAAGGCGCAACTAAGGAAACCCTGTCTCAATGCCCAGTGTTCCAGCATGGGGCACGTGTGCAGCCTGCTGCCACCACTTAGCAATGTGTGTGTCCCCTAAGATGCTTCTCAGAGAACGGAGGAAGAGAGAAGAGAGAGGGGAGAGGTCGAGAGAGAGGGAGGGAGGGAGAGAAAGAAGAAATGGAGAGCGAGGAACAAAGGGAGGGAGGGAAAGAGAAAGAAAAGGGAGAGGAGAGGGACAGAGAGAGAGCGGGGCGTTCTACCTTCAGATGCCTGCAGGCCCCGGGGCTCCTCTCCCAGGTTGGACCCCATGCAGTTCCATAGAGAGCACCTGTGCCCCGAGTGACCCGCAGCCCTTTACCCTAGAACCACAACCCCCGCCGCCCCCCCCGCCCCAAGGGGGAGCTACCAGCAGATTGCTTCGAGGTCCTCGGTTCACTGGGACGGGCCTGGAACTCCAGTGGGGTGGCTCTCAATGGCGAGGCCCCTGTCTGTGCCCCTGGCTGCCTTTCCCTTGATCAGGCTGGACGCTCCCCATCTCCCTGCCCCATCCTGCCCCTGGGCTCTGGCCGTGGACATCACAGCCTGTGAGAGCTTCCTCCAACCAGTAATGTCATCTGGTGCCCCAGCATGGAGCCCAGGCTGAAGGCCAGCCCCCGGCACTGCTTAAGCAGAGGGCCCTGAGACTGTGCCCAAGTGGACAGATGGACCCTGCCTGCTGGCTGGGGGACAGGCCTTCTCAGAGCCCTGAGGCACAAGGCTGCCCACAGGGGTGCATGGCCACGTGCAGACTGCCCTTGGGCTCTGTGTGGCTGGACGTCTTCTCGTGACCCTGCTGCATGCTCAGGGCTCCGAGTAGCGGAAGTTGTCTCAGTGACCTTCTGCATGCTCAGGCTGCTGCTGGCCTGCAGGGCCCAGCTGGGGACTGCCCGGCTTCAAGAGGAGAGAGCCTCAGAAAGGTTTGCCCGGGAGTAACCTCAACCCTAGACTGAGGCAGGAGATGGCATTGCGTGGCATTTAGTGCTCCCTTGATGATGTCACGCGGGTCCCCTGGGAGCACAACTCTCCCAGCGCTCCGTCTGCTGAGCTGCTGTGCTGAGAGCATGGCCTTGTGCAGGGAGGGTCTCTGCCCCCACCAGTGCCTCCCTGGCCCTCCACTGAGGGCAGGGGCAGCTGGGCTGCCCCCCATTCATCCCCCTCACTCCCAAGTGCTGGTGTAGCTGGCCTGTCCTCGTCGAGGGTGGTCCCTGTGCAGCTCCAGTTCCCCTCTGCCCCTCCCTTTGCCCCTGGGCCCTTCCTGCTGGGAGGCTCCCTGGTCTCCTGGGGCCATGGCTGCCCTCCTGTCCTTAATGAGCCGGAGTGTCAGTGCCACCACCGACTCTCACTTCCGCTTCTCTGTGCCTCGCTAAACAAGGCCTCAGGGACTCCCTGTCCAAATTAAGGTGGCACCTGGTGACAGCTGGAATGTATAGTGTCCAGATGTGCAAGGCAGGAGGGCAGCAGGGAGCAATGCTGGTGGGGCTCTGGTAGTGCGTCAGAAGTCTGCTGATGGACAGCAAGTCCCCAGCCCGCCCGCCTCTCGAGCCCCTTCACGGTGCCTGTGGGAGCTGGAACCTCGTGGGCCAGGAGCCCTGGCCATGCAAGGTGCATCCCATCCAGTGCTGCAGCGAGAATATGTCCTGGTGGGGCGTCTACCCGTGAATCCTGGCTCTGTTTGACCCTCCGAAGCACATCCAGCACCCCCCTGAGGAATAGCTTGCGTGGCTTTTCTTGGGACACGCAGCTTTATCCCTTAGGAAGCTCCTGGGTGGGCGATTTGGCAGAGATGCCAAAGTGCTGCAAGTGGGTGCACAATGGGATGCTCTTTTAATTATTAATCCAGGGATTAATAATCTATTGATTGATTATAAAGCAACTATTTATCAGTAAGTTGTATCTAGATAATTCATACTTTTATACAATATGAGTGGTTTGTAAACGAAATGCTGAGTGGATTGTTTAATGAACACCGGCATGTGGCACCTCTGTGGGGCAGGAGCGAGCGGGCCTGGTGCCTCGCTGGGGGCGCCTGGGACTTGTGGCTCTGAGGGGGCGTGGTGGACCTCGGCCGCTGGACGAGGGAGGGGGACGTGCCAACCCTGGAGCACTGGGTGGTGCTGGCGGCTGTTACCACGATTATAACCTGTGGAACGCAGTCAGGGAGGCAGGCCAGGCCTCGGACGCTGAGGTCCGTTTTGCAGCCCAGGGCACAGCGCTTGGCACCTGTGTGAGCGGCTCACCTCCAGCCTCAGGCGTCAGGCTAGCTGCTGCAGCCTCTGTGAGCACCGTGCCAGGCGCCCCGTGACAGAAGGGAACACAGTCTGCTTTTTGCAGGATACAAGACCCTTCTGAAAGGCATCTCCGGCAAGTTCCACAGTGGAGAGCTGGTGGCCATCATGGGGCCCTCTGGGGCTGGGAAATCCACGCTCATGAACATTCTGGCTGGATACAGGTAAGCGAGTCCCACCAGCAGAGCCAGGTCCCCAGTACTGTTGCTCCGCCTCCCATCACTGAGGCGTCCCCTTGTCCAGAGGCGGCTCCTCCATGCTCTGGTCACACACTCCCTGGGGAGCTTCAGGATCTGTGAGGGGACAGTGCAGGGAGGCAGGGGCCCCCGAGGACTGCGGACGGCCGCAGGTGAGTGGAGGACCAGGAGGCTGGGCAGCTGAACGAGGTGGCTCCTCAGGAAGCCCTCCTTGGCCGGCCCTTCTGGGACAGGAAGAAGCAGGAGGCTAAGGTTGGGGAGGGGGAAGCAGGAAGACGAGAGAGCACACGGGGTGCACGCTGGGAGGGAGAACGGGCCCTGTTGGGCTGGGCTGTGATTTTGTTGGTTGTTTGCAACTTTGGTGATCAGAGTCCCTGGTGCTGTGTCCCATGTCATTCATTGGTGCATGACTAGGAAACCGGATCTTTCTTTACAGTGTTAAAATACTCTGTTAAGCCAGTCCTGGTTCTTGCAGGTTCCGTTTGTAACTGCAGCGGGTAGTAGCAGTGGGAATCCTCCTCCCAGGGTGTTGCATTCTGCAGCTTCCCTGACACACCACCAGGATCCAAAAATATTAAGTGGAAAATTTTAAAAAGAAACAGTTCATAAAAACTTAATTTACACCCTTCTGATGAAGTCTCTGCCATCCCCTTTGTCCCACCCAGGATGAAACTCATCCCTTGGTCCAGTGTATACATTAGTACACATTAGTCACTTTGTAGCCATCTGTGTTAACAGATCAGCTGCAGTCAAGTGACCCTTATCTCACTTGATCATGGCCCCCAAGTACAAGAGTGGCCACGCTGGCAAAATTTTACTGTAGTATATTGTTGTAGTTGTTCTGTTTTCTTATTAGCTATTGCTTATCACTTTCCCTGATTAATTTATCATGAGCACTAGGTATATTATAGGAGTGAACATGGTATATTCAGAGTTCATTACTACCTGCAGGTTAGGCAGACCTGTGGACCAGGGAACTCCTGAAATAATTATTTCATTTACTGAAACAAATGGCAAATGTCACCTCCTCCTTCGAGCTTCTGAATCACTCCTTCGTACTAGAAACTAGGATTCTTAAAAAATCTAACTTATGACAAACTCTGCCTGTGACAATCACATCTAAAATTGGGAACCAAACCCTCCACACGAGTCTTGAGAGGGGCGTGGAGAGTGGAGTGTGTCCCGAGGGCGGCTGTTGTCCCTCTGGTCATGCCCCACAGCTCCTGGAAGACCCGAGGGGGTTTGGGCATCGAGCCAGGCTTCAGGGAAGGCCTGGAGGGAGGGAGGCCCCCCTCAGGCCACTGCAGAGGTGCCACCAGTGCCCGTGCTGTCCCCTTCTCGGTGTTCTGGGAGGCAGGGCTGCACGGCTGCGCCCTCAGGAGGAGGCTGGTGATGAGCGACAGGGGTGCTGCGCGGACCAGGCCCCTCTCCCTGACATGAGCACATGGAGGTTCTGGAAGCTCACCTGTGGGCAGGGAATGCTCCCCCTGCAGAAGGACCGTCCCCCTGGTTGTCCTGAACCTCTGAGCCCAAGGCGCCTTCGGTGTCTTTCCCTCCCTGATGGCAGTCTCTAGCTGAGGGCAGCTGCTGCGGCCTGTGCTGCACACAGGTGGCAGAAGCCAGTCTCACTAACCCTGCAAGCCCAGGGGTACATCCATCTAGTGGCTGCGTTCAGTCTTCGGGCCCCAGCCCCCGCCCCTCTGCATCAGGAGCAGGGGAAACAAACACAGCGGCTTCTGCTGGCCACAATGCGGGTCCAGGGAGCGGGGTCCCAGGGAGCAGGGTCCCAGGGAACTCTCCTGTGTGACTCTTCCTACAGGGCGCCTTCTCCCTGGATGGTCCGCCCCAGTTAGCATGGTGCCTTCTCTGCCCCCCATGCCTCTGTGTCCAGCTGGAAAGAGGCTGGCAGAGAGGCCCTCCTCTTTGGTTCACCCCTCTCCAGCCTGAAGGCCCCCTCTCCTTGGCTTTGCAGGGAGACCGGCATGAAGGGGGCAGTGCTCATCAACGGCATGCCCCGCGACCTGCGCTGCTTCCGGAAGGTGTCCTGTTACATCATGCAGGATGACATGCTGCTGCCACACCTCACCGTGCAGGAGGCCATGATGGTGAGCTGCCCACCTGCCTGTGCTGCAGGCCCCCGCCCCACCCCTCTGCATTAGGAGCACAGCTGCACGTGGGTGGACACTCTTCCAGGCCCCTGCAGTCACACCCTCTCTCTAGTGGAGTCCAGCCCCAGGCTGGCTGTGTGGACAGTTGGATGGAAAACAAATCCCCACCACCAAGAGTCTTAATGGCCCACATTCGGCAAATCCACGGTCAGGTTGCTAAGATTATTGGTCACTGCTGTGGGTGATCGTCTCCATGGTAACCACAAGTCCTCCTCCCCGTGGGCTAAGGAGTTGGCTTCCATCAGCCACTCTGTGTCTTTGGCCCAAGTTGCAGCTCACCTGGTCCCCTCCGTCTCACCTGCCTTCGATCGTTGAGTGCCTGTTGAGCATGCATGTGGCCCTAGCCTTCACCAGATGTGCGACTGCAGGAAGGCAGCTGTGGAGCAGGGCCGCCCAGGGCCACCCAGCTGGGAAGGCACACGGCTCTTGCAGGCAAACCTGACCCCAGAAACTCTCCTCCTCGACCTCCCGCCGTGCATGGCTCGGTTTCTGCAGATCTAGCAGGGCGTGCTCGAATGGGGAGTGGGGTGTGGGAAGGCAGGCGTGGCCCCAGACTCCCCCACTGCTTCTGGCCATTGCACCCAGTCAGTTTTTTTCCCACGCCTGCTAAGTCCTCACTTAGTCCCCCCACAAGCCCAGTATGGGGGCTGTGCAGGTGGCGCCTGCACAGTGGGTTTCCACAAGAGCCTGGATGTACTCTGGACATCCATGACCTCACCGCATGTCAGGACTCTGGGCTCCCAGGGCTGTTGGTTTCTGTTTTTTGGATTTTTTTTTTCTTTTTCTTGGTACTGGGAATTGAACCCAGGGGTGCTTAACCACAGAGCCACATCCCCAGCCCTTTTTATTTTTCATTTTGAGACAGGGCTCGCTGAGTTGCTTAGGGCCTCCCTAAGTTGCTGAGGCTGGCTTTGAACTTATGATCCTCCAGCCTCAGCCTCCTGAGCCTCTGGGATTACAGACAAGGGCCACCGCACCCATCTTCAGCATGTTTTTTACAAAGGCCCAGGCACAGTGAGTGCGGCTACACTAATCTGTGGGCAGCAGATGCCACCTGAGTACCGCCCACGGAAAGGAGGTTGGAAAGCAGCCCACCGCTGTGGCTGCCCATCACGCTCACTTAGTGCTCGCGGTTTCCCGCCTTCTCCTGTCCCTGCCTAGGGTCCCCAGCAGGGTGGAGCCCTCCAAGCACCGCAGTGGACGTTCTCAGCCGTGTCTGCTGGCTCTCGACCAGCAGATGCAGTGCTTGCTCTGGTGTCCCCACTGGAGGGGTTTCTGGTGGGCCCTGGGCGGAGCCTCCTCCAGAGGCGTCAGTGAGTGGCAGCCCCACGGTGTCACCTGTGATTTCAAAGGGTTCCTAACTCAGCAGAGAGGGACAGGCTAAGATTTCAGATTTACCCCCTGCTCCCCGGCTGCTTTGTGGGGAAAGCGGGGGACGCGGCAGGGCTGTTCTCATTCATCTTGCCTGTACTGAGTGTCTGTGGGCAAGGGGGCATGGCCTGGGCTGGGGAGCCCTGCATGTCCAGCTGGCCAGCATGCTCGTTCCTGGGCACAGAGGACCTAGGAGTTTGCAGAGAGACCAGGACACGCAGCCTGGGGTTTGCCCCAGATGGGGGGTGGCTGACGCTGGGCATGGCAGTTCCCACACAGGGCTTCATCAGGTGGCAGAGGGCCCCGTGCTGGGCTAGTAACAGGATCTAAGTGCACACCAGCCAGAGGGGCATCGCTTGAGTGGCTCGTGCCAATTCCTGGGGTGTGACTCCCCTCGTGGATCATTCCAAGCCTTGGCTGATGAAAGGTGGCTTGGAATTCCTAAACACACCACGGGTCCCTGCTGCCCGTCTTCAGGCCTGCTGCCTGGGTTCCCTTCTCTGTCGCCCATACCCAGCTCTCTCATGGGTACAGCAGGGAATCCACCTGGGACACCAGAGCCCCCAGATTCCCTCTGCTCCCCTGCCAAAGCTAAGGGACATGGAAGCCGGGGCCTCCGGGATTTCCTGTAGCCATCAGGTGGCCCAGAGACATGGCCTGATGTGGCTCGCCCTGGTGCTGGCCACCCACAACACTGTCCTTGTCCCCACAGGTGTCAGCACATCTGAAGCTACAGGAGAAGGATGAAGGCAGGAGGGAGATGGTGAGTGTGGCTTTGGGACGGTGTGTGGCCAGGAGGCCTGGGTAGCCGGTTGGTAGCGTGCAGGGGGCTTTGGGTGTGGCCCTCTTTGGACTTGCCCTGCTGCTCCTGCTCCCGAGTGGGAGGGGGCGTCCCAGCGCGGGGCGTGGGCTGCAGCAGCCAGAGACCAAGCCAGGCGGCGGTGGGGCATTGCAGCAGTGTGGACTCCATCCAGGAGTGACAGGCTCAGCACTGAGGGCCTGAAGCGGCCAGCTTCACGTTGGACCCAGCAGTGTGCCCTTCAGTACACTTTGCAGGGAACTGTTTTTCATAAAACACTAACAATGAAGCTGTTAGTCACTGGTTTAAAAATAACCATCCCCCCCCCCCATACAACTGCAAGAAGCAGCTGGGTGCTGCACGTTGCTGGCCAGCCTTTAGGAAGGGAGGACCAGGTACCCACCTGCCCGAGACTTTCTCTCCCTTCGTCACTTGCTTTTCTTCCTTTCACCCGAGGACAAGGGAGGGTGCCGGTGCACAGGGCCAGCCGCGGCCCCAGAAGCCCTCCCAGGAGGCACCGGCCAGTTCTCGTGGTCAGGGAAGCCCCTCCTTCTCTGGCACTGGGACCACTGGATTTTCAGTGTAAGATAAATCCCACTTTTATAAGCTGCTTCTGGCTTCTGCCACCTTTCAGGGCCACAGGGCAGCAGCCGAGAAAGCAGGATTGGCAGGGTCCACACCGGGGGCACGAGGGGCTGCTCCTGTTGGGTGTAAGCTGGGACAGTCATGGGGACAGTCAGACACGCTGAGGACGTGTTGGTCACAACTCCACGAGTGCCGTTGCCACTTGTGTTGGGCAGAACAGTTACCGCTAAGCCGAGCGAAACCCCCTGGGTGTGGAAAGAATGTTCTGGGCGCGCCTGGGGCTCCTTCCTCCCTGGTCCCCATGGTGACCTTCAGACTCTTGGGCCATCCCAGTCCCTGGTCGTGGGGACAGGATCAAGAACCCACTTCTGAGAAGTAAACCCATGCCTCGTTGCTCTGGAAAATGTCCCATGTGGAGCCCGGTTCTGAGATTGAAGGGAAGAAAGTGGACCAGTCCAGCCCAGAACAGAGACGTGGGGAACGAGGGGCCACAGAGGCAGCAGGCCCAGGCTGGGGCCCGATCAGGAGGGTTGAGAGCGGTCAGCTTCTGTGGTCTCCGGGCTTTTCTGAGTGCGTGGCTTAGGCAGCAGACTCCTCATGCTCCCCGCAGCTGTGTCTGCGTGAAGAGGAGGGTTATGGGCTGAGTCCCCCAGAGGTGCTGGAGCCCCGACACCTGTCCCTCTGAATTTGAGTGTATTTGGGGACAGGGTCTTTACACAGGTGACTAAGGTGAGGTCATCAGTGGCCCTGGTCCACTGACTGGTGTCTTCAGAAGAGACCAGGATACAGACGCACGCAGAGGCTGACCCTGGGAGGACAAGGGGACCCCATCTGCAAGCCATGGAGAGAGGCCCCAGGAGGGACAGCCCGGCCAGCTCCTTGATTTGGACTTCCAGCCTCCAGAACCTGAGAGGATTCCTTCCTTCCCTTGTTTAAGCCCCAGTATGGGGCTCTTTGTTACACAGACTGGACTGACTCGCATGACTGCTGAGATGGAGAAGGAAAGTCTTGGCTCCAGGGAGAGAACAGAGGAGAACCCGGTGTCAGGAGGCCAGCTCTAGCCTCCTGGCCCTCTCCACTCTCCAGGAGGAAAGCCATCAGCTAGCTGCAGGCCCAGAGTAGGACTGGCAAGAGCTGGAGGCGCCATGAGGCAGAGCCTTTCCTTTTGCAGAGTCAAGAAGTGCCTCTCATCCAGCGGCCAGAGGACTGGCCTAAGGAGCACCTCTCACACCTGATCACCCTCGTCCTTCAGCCTCCCTCCTTCCACAGAGGCCAGAAATGCAGTCAACCTGCTGGATGCAGTGGCCTCACTGGGGCCCCATGGGCCGCTTTGGACAGTTGTCTCCAGCACAGTGACAAGCTCCAGAGGCTGCACAGAGAAGCTGCAGGAATGACCACTGACCCTGGGCGTGGGGGAGGCACAAGGCGAGGGTGAGCCTCTGGGAGAGGGGCTCCCCAGGACAGGCCTGGTGCAGGGTCGTGGTGTGAGGGGAGCAGCCAGGACCCGGGGGTGGCTGCCCACAGGGCCAAGCAGTGATGCTGAGCGAGCACATGGGAGCTCCTTGGATAACCCTGGCCTCCTCCCCCAGCACCCGGAGCTTCCCTCCTTGACTCGGGATGTAAGGCCCAACTCCTGCCACGGGCCTGGTGGCAGCTGAATTCGCCTCTTCCCTGAGGGGACCCCAGGCCAGCAGCCTTCCCCGCTGTGGCTCTGCGGGCCTTCCCCAGGGAGCTGGCGGGCAGTGCACACCTCAGCCAACAGGAGGGTCCATGGCGAGCCCTGCCCCTTGGGCCCCCCTGCCTTCCGCACCAGCTCTGTCTTTGATGGCGCAAAACTTTGCACCATGAGTCCAGGCTCCTGTCAGCGTCTCCAGGAGGGCCACAGAACCCACTCTGCCTGCCAGAGTGGAAGGGACCAGGGACAGATGGCACCTTGTGAGAATGGAGGTGCCTCCTGGGAGGAGGGACTCCCGTCTGCGTGTCCTCTGTGGGCCTGGCCTAGGACGCAGATGGGAAGGACGCCTGAGCGTCTCAGCTGGCTTGTAGAGCACAGGTGACTCAGGGACGGCCCCCGGCCCTCTGACTGACTGTCCCCGAGGACCCTGGCACCCCCCACCTTGTGTGCTGGGGGGACTGTGGAGAGGGCGCCCACCTGCCATCCTGCAGGACCCCAGGCAGTTCTGTGCCCTGCAGATCTTCCTCACCTGAGGCCCGGTTTGTGCCCACCCTGTCCTCTTGGCCAAGTGCAGCCTCCTGCCCCCAGAACCATCTGGCAGCTCTGCTTCAAGGGCAGAGCCACAGCTGGCTCCACACCCTGACTCACTTCCCCCCAACCCCCTCTGTACTTGGGTGGCGTTGTTTTTGTCTTGTAAAAACACAATGGGATGGAATGTTCTAGCAGGTAGCGGAATGTGCTATTCACAGCCTTCCTTTCCCAGAAAGGGCGCCTCGGCCCTGGCCATCCCTCTGACCAGGCTGCTTCTGCAAGAGAGGTCTCCGAGGGCAGTTCTGCAGCTGCCAAGCCTGCAGTCACCAAGGCCCCCAGGGGAGCTGAGTTATGAGCACTGAGGGACTTTTATTTGCTTGTTTAGGCAAATGCGCATAAACAAGAGCCCACCGTTCCTCTGGCCCGTCTCTGACACCAGCCTGCGTAGCCCCACTGCTGCGCCACGTTGCAGACAAGGCCTGGCCTCCGGGTGGAGGTGTGGTGGGTGGCAGAAGGACAGGCCCCCAGCAGGAGAGGCAGAGCAGGATTGGAACCTGCCCAGCAGCAATGCCCTGGTTCTTTGTCACCAAAGCTCCACTTTGCACTGACTGTGCATAAATAATTCAAAAGTACAGTCCTCCTTTCGGGTGACCTCATCTCCCCAAGTAGCCGCGTCCTGGGGTCCCCTCCCTGTGGCTGCAGGGGCCCAGTGCAGGGCTGCCCTTCCAGGGTGAGGACAAGGATGGGCAAATTCTGGAGAGAGCTCTAAGGCAGCCCCCATTAGGCCTCAGCAGCCACCAGGGTACACCTGGTCATGACAGCAGGAACCAGCCCATGCCCACTGGAGATGGCTGACCTCCTGAGTCACCTGGAGGTGGCCCGTCCTGGGCTGACGGAGGACTCTGTGCACGGTTTCTGTCTTAGTGCTCAGCCACGTCCCTGGGGCCAGGATCTGTGGACAGGAGCTCTGGTCATCATCCAGTGCCATTAGAGGCTGTTTTCCACTGACGCATGCACAACAGGTTTCCTGAGGGACCCCACGGTTTGTGACCGGAGGGCTGTGCTCGAAAGCTTTGTGTGAGCTATAAGCACGGCACCCGCTTGGTGGCTGGCCGTGGGCAGCAGGCCTCGTGTGCCAAGTGCTGCACCGTGGACTTTGCAGTGGTTTGATTTACTGGTCACAGTGACTCTTTGTGCTGGTCAGCAGCCTGATCATCCATCCAGTTTTATGTCTGTCAATCCCTCAGTTGACCAAATATTTACCAGATGATTTCTCTGTGCCAGGCTCTGGGCTGGGCCTGGAATTGGAGTTGTTGGGGTCACCTGCTGAAGGCTGAGTGAAGTGAGGACTCAGGCCCTCGCCACGTCTCAGCCTCTGGGCATCACGGCCTCCCTGGCCAAAGTCAGCACTGTCCACGAACTTGGAGGTGCTGCTCACTTGGGTGGCTCCAGTTTGCAGGTCCCTGGGTGGACTGGTGACATGTGTCCAGCAGAGTGGGTAGCAGGCAGGCTTTGCATGTGGGCCCCGGTGGACAGAGAGACCAGGAGGGCAGCTCCTAAAGGGGCCTTGGTTCTACCTTCCCCAGGTCAAGGAGATCCTGACGGCACTTGGCTTGCTGTCCTGTGCCAACACTCGGACGGGGAGCCTGTCGGGCGGCCAGCGGAAGCGCCTGGCCATCGCACTGGAGCTGGTCAACAACCCTCCAGTCATGTTCTTCGATGAGCCCACCAGGTAAGCCAGAGCCAGCCTGCTCTTAGAGGGGCCCTGCCTGTCCCTCCTGCCTGGGCACAGCGGGGACTCTGAGCGCTTGACAGAGCGGCTGCTTCACTGTCCACTGCTCAGACACACACGTGCTCGGCCCTGTGCCGTGCATTGATGCTGGGAGCTGATCTGAGGGAAACGTGCCCGTCTCTCCCGTGACATGGAGTTCCCTGTGCACAGCCACCCTGGCCAGGCCCTCCGTGTGTCCTGGAAGCCACTGCATTAGCTCTTCAGTGGCTCAGAGGAGCCCACAGGAAGGACGCCCACCGTGAGTGGCTTGCCAGCTCCATGCCAGTGAGCCCTGACACCAGTCCTGGGGATGCCCCCTTCGGTTGGAGGCTGTGGGGAGAGGCTGGCTCTGGAGCCACGGGCAGTGAGTTGGGCCGCCTCTTCCTAGTCACAGCATATTCAAGTGTCCCCAGAAGAATGAGCCTCAGGGTTCAGGTGGGCTGCTCTTGAACCAGATTTTATGTCGCCTCCTTCCTGCCTGCTCGCTCCCCTCTCCAAAGGCCAGCAGGTCCTGACAGCAGCCTGGGCTGTCTGCAGGGAGGGGCACATCTACCCTGTCCGCTCAGCCCAGCCCCGTGACCGCCCTCAGCTGGTGGTACCTCAGGCAGCTCCCTAAATGTGTTTGAGAAACAGCGGAGCAGAGAAGCCTTCAGCCCTCCTCCAGCAGGCTGCCTGTCCTGGGAGGGGAGCTTCGAGGGGCTGCCGGGCACACACTCCTTGCCCTTGCCCTGTCCTGAGGAGTGGAGGGACAGGAGCAGAAGTGGACAGGGCTGGGGCACTGAGAAGGGGAAGGAGAAGAGAGGTCACCCCAGAACCTTCTGGAGAAGAGCCCATGGCCAGCCCATGGAAGACCCCCTGTGTTCAGTGAAGCACCTGCCAGAGTGTAGCCTGGCCCAGGTGCCCCAAAGCCACCCCTCTGTGGCCGACACCCGTCCCCAGTGCTGCCCCCAGTGGGCCCAGGGGCAGGGGATTGCAACTGCTACCCAGAATGCTTCTCGGAACTACACTTCTGCAGTCCCCCTCCCAAGACAGGTGGGGACCCCTGTCCCCCACCCAGCTCCTCAGCAAGACCTGCTGGTCCCCTAGTAGCACGCAAGACACTCAGCTCCTGCTGTGGCCCCTCAGCAGCCCTGAGGCGGAGCAGAGCCTCACCTTGAGGACCTGCAATGGCAGCTCTGGCCCCTGCCTCCGTGGCAGCGGCTTCCCAGCCCCTCCAGGACCTGGGGCAGCGGGCTTGTCCCTGCTGCCCAGTGTCTCATGGTACCCTTGACTTGCAGCGGCCTGGACAGTGCCTCCTGCTTCCAAGTGGTGTCCCTGATGAAGGGGCTGGCCCAGGGAGGCCGGTCCATCGTCTGCACCATCCACCAGCCCAGTGCCAAGCTCTTTGAGCTCTTCGACCAGGTATGAGTTCCCAGCACCCTCCTGGACCCCTCCCAGCTACTGCCTGGGCCCCTCCTGGCCCCCACCCTGGACCCTGCCCCAGACCCCCACCCCGGCCTCCCAGCCAGGTTGAGGCTGGTCGGTCACCCCACCCCCCCATGAGTCCTGCGTGTCTGATGCCTGGCTGTCGGGAAGCCTCTGCCACTGTGGTCATCGAGGCCAATGGATGCCTTCTCTTTCCTCACTGTCCACAGCTTTACGTCCTAAGTCAAGGACAATGTGTGTACCGGGGGAAGGTCTCCAACCTGGTGCCCTACTTGAGGGGCTTGGGCCTGAACTGCCCCACCTACCACAACCCGGCAGACTTTGGTGAGTGGCGCCCAGACCAGCTGGGAGGAGGGGCTTCACACTGATCGACTATCCCTCAAGTGGCTCGGGGGCCATCTGGGTGGAACTGGTAGAGAACAAAGAAGTTTCCTTGTCTCCTGGTGGACACATCTGATGGCCAGCTCTGTGTCCTCACCTCATGATGTCATTGGTCCCTAGAGTTAGGGCCCACCTTACATCCAGGATAAACTCCTCTCAGATCCATGACTGATCCCCTGTGAAGACCCTTCCCCAGGTCACACTGAGGCTCCAGGTGGACATCCCCCCTGGTCTTCCTGCCTCAGCCTCTCTCTCTCAGTCATATTTCTTTAGGACTCTGGCCTTACGCCCCGGAATCCCATGACTGCCGTGGCATTATTTCCAAGTTAGGCTTAGCAGGCACTGCTCCTGGGAATCTTCTCACTCCCGAGAGGCAGGCTGCGATGACGGGGAGGGGAGAGACAGGGAGACAGGGACGCTGGAAGGAAGCGAGAGGTGAGGGGCAGCTCTGATCAAGGGGAAGGCTTGAGCATTTTTAGAAGCCGTGGTGGAACTCGTTTAGAGTCCATAGTTTATGAACTAGAGTTCCACCCGAGAGAAGGGACAGGTGGGCAGGGGAGGGGAGGTGGGACCCGAAGCCTGCATGGAGGTGAGCTTGCAGAGGAAGGGCGGCAGAAGGAGAAGAAATGGGCCCCCGGGAGGGTGCAGAGGCCCTGGGAGACAAGGTGCTCCCTCAGCGTGCTCTGCTGAGAGGGGAGCCCAGGGCTGTGGCCCCGGGTGGGTGAGGGACAGCCGGAGCTTGGAGACCTCGCCTGGCCACCCAGCGTGGCCTGGAGCAGGGTTTTATGTGGGAGTGCTTGGCACCCAGCTTCCGGCCTAGGAAGAGAGCAGACCGCCGGGGACAGGGAGCTTTGAGCATCACGGGATGGTGTCCAGTGGGAACCAGGGCAGGGCACAGGGAGGAAGTTGGGGAGCAGAAGGTTGGAGAGTGCAGAGGCCTCTGTCCAGGAGTGGGGTGGGCAGAGGAGGCCGGGGCAGAAGGGAGCTCGACCAAGCGAGTCTGCACGCTGGGGGAGGGAGGCCAGGGTGGCGCTGCACCAGGACCTGAGGGTACGGGCGGCTGTCCCATGGCCTCGGGCACCCAGCACACCATGCGGTGGTGGGCATTCCTCCTCCGTGGTCTCCTGGGACTCTGTGGGCTTGGCACACAGCCCAGGTGAGCTCTTTGCAGAGGAGCCTGCCGCCTGCAGGGTGTGGCCGGGAAGGCGTTCAGTGAGCTGGGGAGTAAGGCCCCGGCCGGGCTTTCCAGGCCCCCTGACCCTGCTGTCCACCTGCCGACGTCCTACAGCCATGCTGGGGCTTTGAGGGCCGGGTGCCGACTGGTGAACGATGTGGCTTCCACCACTGACGTCACCAGGGGCGTCTCGGGGACTGCTGGGACGCTGCCTAGGCCCTCCCACAGGCCCCAGGGAGCCTGTGTCCCCATCCTGCCATGGCGCACCTGTCGCGGGCCTGGTCTAACCCACCCCCGTGTCCGGCAGTCATGGAGGTGGCGTCGGGCGAGTACGGCGATCAGAACGGCCGCCTGGTGAGAGCAGTGCGCGAGGGCCTGTGCGACTCTGACTACAAGAGAGACCTCGCGGGGGACGGCGAGGTGAACCCCTTCCTCTGGCACCGGCCCCCCGAAGAGGTAAAGCAGGCAAATGGATTGATGGGATGGGGACAGGTGACGCAGGCCCCAGAGCCCAAGGTTCCCCCCACCCCCGCACGTGGGTACCCCTGCTTCACATGGAGGCGTGGCCGTCTGGGGGCTCACGGGTGCCCTTCCCGCCGTGTCCCCAGGATTCTGCCTCCATGGAGGGCTGCCACAGCTTCTCCGCCAGCTGCCTCACCCAGTTCTGCATCCTCTTCAGAAGGACCTTCCTCAGCATCATGAGGGACTCGGTAAGAGCGTCCTCTGGGCCTCCCGCGGGCCCTCCTCTGGACTCTCCCGACCCAGCTTCCAGGTGGCTTTTCTGCCAGCCACTGCTGTCTGTCACTGTGGTGACAGACGATCCCGAGACGTCTGTCCACACGAGCCAGGGCATGTCTGGCTGGTGCTGAGGGGGGTGGCAGCTCAGCCCCATCTGTCTTGTCCTGGGGCTGGGGACGGAGGAACAGCTCCCATCTGGACTGTCCTCCTGGAGCCTCACAGAGGGGGCAGTGCAAGAGGGAAGCAAGGGGGCAGCAGTGGTCACTGGTGCTCATGGTCCAAACAGGCCAGGTGGCCGAGCCCCCATCAGGGTGGAGGGGGAGTGCACCCCCTCAGAAGAGCAGCCCAAGGTGCGCGCACTGGGCGGGCCAGCGGCCCCTGATAGGGAAGGAGCGGGTGAGTGGGTGCCCTGATAACACCAGCCGTGGAAGTGGACAGGCTGGCCACCTGGCTGGGAGAGGCAGGTGTGCAGCCCGTGGTCTGCAGTGCAGGCCTGCCGATCCCCAGCCTGCTCTCCCCGCTGCCCCGGCCCCTTCCTGTTAGCTGGCCTTGAGGAGAAGTGAATATGGTAGTCAGCACTCCCTGACCACAGAGCTGGCCGCGCAGGACACGCCTGTGGCTTGGGCAAGGGCGAGGGCTTGTTTCCCTGGGGCCTGAGGGAGGGCGTGTAAGACCCCCGGCCCAGAAGCCAGGCTCCTGCACAGGGTAAGGTCTGTGTCCGCCCAGGTCCTGACGCACCTGCGGATCACCTCCCACATCGGGATCGGCCTCCTCATTGGCCTGCTCTACCTGGGCATCGGGAATGAAGCCAAGAAGGTGTTGAGCAACTCTGGCTTCCTCTTCTTCTCCATGCTCTTCCTCATGTTTGCCGCCCTCATGCCCACCGTTCTGACCTGTGAGTGACGCCCACGCCCCGCCCTCCGGTCCCTGGATTCCTACCCAGCAGTGGGGGCCGGGGCCAGCCTGGCCAGTAGATGGGCTCTCTGAACGCAGGGTCCTGTTTCTTCAAAGTCCACTTATATGTGGACAGATGCAGATTTTATTGTATTTGCTGTTAGACACCAAAATATGGTGTTGACGCCAAAGGACCGAATCTCTAATGGAAGACGGTCAGACACGGTAGACGGAGGTGGAGGGACATTTCGCTAGGGTTTCTAATCCGGAGCCCTCACACAGCTACGTGAGCACCTGCAGTTCAGTGTGGGCATGGCCTGGGACGCGTGCTTTGGGATGGACAGGTGCTTTGGGATGGAATTCCAGGCAATTCTAGCCTGCTGTTGACCATCTTGCGCTGCATGGTGGACAGCTGCTGCGCCACAGGACCCACACACACAGGCGTCCTGCCTGAGCTGTCCTGAGTCTCCAAGAGCAGTGTGCCCTCAGCCCACGGGATGGGCAGCCTGAGTGGGCCCCAGGAGGTAGAGGGAGCGAGAGCCAGGCGTGGTCTTCCTCACCGCCCTGTTCACCACTGCTCTGGCTCGGGGAGGGCTGGCGATTCCCCAGGCTGCCAAGCCCTTCATCTTGTGCTGAGCCTGGAGAGGCCCGGTGCAGGCAGGTGCTGTGCTGGGCGCCCGTGGCTCAGCCCGAGGTGCTGTGGGGACTGCCGTGTGACCCTGTCTTCTGCGTTGTCCCCTAGTTCCCCTGGAGATGGGCGTCTTCCTTCGGGAACACCTGAACTACTGGTACAGCCTGAAGGCCTACTACCTGGCCAAGACCATGGCCGACGTCCCCTTCCAGGTGTGTCCGCGGGCTGCCCTTTGGAGGCTGGGCCGAGGGTGGGAGGTCTGGAAGCAGGTGGGCTGTCCAGGGCTGACGGGCTCTGTTGTCCCCAGGTCATGTTCCCCGTGGCCTACTGCAGCATCGTGTACTGGATGACCTCGCAGCCGTCGGACGCTGTGCGCTTTGTCCTCTTTGCTGCGCTGGGCACCATGACCTCCCTCGTGGCTCAGTCTCTAGGCCTGCTGATCGGAGCGGCCTCCACGTCCCTGCAGGTACCTGCAGAGCAGCGCTGCGGGTGGGCTTCCTCCACCCGCCTGCCTGGCCCCGCTGCCCGGGGGGCTCCCGCCCTCCCTGAGACCTTCCTCTGAGTTCTGCCCTGTCCAGGTTGGTCCCAAGGGGAGGAAGGCATGGTCCTGGGTGGCCAGGAGAGGTGCACTGACAGCAGACAGTGGCTACAGCACGTGCACTTATGGAGCGCCTGCTGCATGCTGCCATGCCTCTCCACTGTTGCTAAACCTTAGCTCACTTAGTCCCAAACACATGATTTTACGGGTGGGGAGACTGAGGCCCAGAAAGGCAAATGACTTGTTGGGGTCACACAGCTGGCTCCAGGCAAGCCCCTAGTCCCTGCAGCATGGTTGGGTTTGCGCTACTCAGCCATCCCTGGGACACCCCCTTTACATGCACCTGCTCCCCACCCCAGCCCATCCCTGTTGTCTCAAGAAGCCTGGTTCCATCCCCCTGGACCTGCCAAACCACACGTCCGGCTCAGGGTCTCGGGCCAGTCCTATCCTTGGGAATGAGACCGGCAGGTTCACTCTGTGCTGCGAGGCCCTGAGGTCCCGGACAGTTCCTGGATTGTCCACCGCCAGCAGCGGCTTAGCCTCTGGGGCCTTCATGTCCTCGCCTGTGGGTGGGACGGCGGTGGTGTCCGCCTCGTGGCATTGTGACAAGGGTGAAAGATGACACTCCAGAGAAGGTGCTAGGCGCCCGCCCCAGCCAGGCCACAGGGACACCCGTACCCCCTCCTCTAAATGGCCCTGAGCGCTGGGGGCACACTCTGAGTCTGCCACGCTGGCCCAGCCCCCAGAGGCCTGGCTTCCCCTCCCGCCCTCTGGGGACACTGCACCTCCCCACGGCTCCCACTCACACCAGCTGGGCGCCTCCCGCACCTCGGGAGCACTTTCTGTCCAGTTCACCTGCTGCCCAGCAAGCTGCCCAGGCCTCCTGCTGCCTCTTGCCCTCCAGGCAGCCTGCCTCAGGACAGTGTCCTGCTCCAGGGCCGGCCCTGCGGACCACAGTGTCCTGCTCCAGACCCGGCCTCAGTGTCCTGCTCCAGGGCCGGCCGCACCCAGGGCAGCTCCACCCACAGCCCTGCACATACCCGCCAGGCCACCTGGGCCAGGATGCCCCCCGACACCCTTGCTCCCCTCACACCCACCACACATGCAGGTACACACACACGTCACACACACACAGCATAGATAACACACGTCACACACACACACCACACCACAGATACGTATACTACACACACCACGTATCCACACACCATAGATACATGCTCTACACATACCACAGATATACACATATATACACACAACACACACACATGCCACAGGTGCACATACCACTCATACCACATGCTGTACATACACACACTACACATGACACACAGCACACGTACCACACTATAAATATACGTACCTCATACCACACAACCAAATACACCTTGCACCACACACAGCACAACACACATGCACGTATACACCATATACCACACACACACCTTGCACACACCACACATACCCACACACACTGGCCACACCACACTTGCACGCATACCTGCCCCTGGTGAATTGTGAGTGGACTGTAAGTCAAGCCACTGTGCTGTGCTGCTGTCACCCAGGTGGTGACAGCCCTAGGTGTGCCATGCCTGGGAGAGGCTGGAGCCCTGCCCTCAGGACCTGGTGAGCAGGCGCTGTCCTCGGCTGCCCGCTGAGGAGGGTGTCTTCTAGTGGGACCTGCAGGGGACCTGGCATCAGTCTGGCTTAGGGACCAAGGTATCCCAAAGAGGGTCCCCAGACACAGAGATACCACCCAGGGGTCAGCTCCAGGGATGGTGCAGGCCTGCCCCTCTCAGGCACGCTGGTCGCCTTCCCAGAAGACACTGGCCACCTTGCTGGAGGGTGCTTCCCTCCCACTCCCCTCCTCAGCCGGGCTGGGCAAGCCACTCTGCAGGAGACCAGCCCCTGGTCCTGCAGGAGACCAGCCCCCGCCCTGAGGCCATGCTCTCTGCTGCTGGTCTGCTTCCGGTCAGCTCATGAAAACTCTAGCCCTTTGGGGCTCATCTTCTAGCCGAGGGTGACTGTCCTCAGGGCCACTGTGCAGGAACTCAGGAGGACTCCCCAGCTTCCCCCAGTAAGTCCTGTGTCCCTACCCTGTCCCCAGGTGGCGACGTTCGTGGGTCCTGTGACGGCCATCCCGGTCCTCCTGTTCTCAGGGTTCTTCGTCAGCTTCGACACCATCCCGACGTACCTGCAGTGGATGTCCTACATCTCCTACGTCAGGTAGCGTGGGCAGTGGCAGGGAGGGTGTGACAGTGACAGGGTCACATCACTGCTAATGAGCTTGTGTTCACAGGCCACTTTGTGCCCGCCAGCCAAGCGCATCCCAGAGCAGGGGCGTCTGTCTGTGCCTTTCATTCATTTCCTAGTTTGGTGAGGGTCTGGCCCACCCTCACCACCACCTGCACACACATGTGCATGCACACGCACACACACGCACCCACACATATACACACACAGAGCAGGGACGTCAGACCCTGGAGAAGCCCCTGTGCACCCTCATATTCGGGTGTGTCTGGGAGCCACCTTGGGCGGCTTCTGTATTTTACTTGGAAAGAGTCACAACAAGGTCCTGGTGGCTGGTAAATGTTAAGAGGAAATCCACGGGGGAACAGGTCATCTTGCAAACATCCCAGTGTCACTGCACAAGAGCCTCAGGCCCAGGGACCGTGGTTTCTGAGTGGCTCTTGGCATGTGGCCCTTCTGTGGACAGTGCCCAACTTTCGAGCTTCACCTGCCCCCACTGCAACCAGTCCAGGTGGCACACACAGTCCGAGCTGGGCACAAGTGCTGCTCTTCTGAAAGGTCAGCCCAGACCCAGGTGCGTTGTTCAGGAAAGGAAGCCGACACAAAGCCCCGCAGAAGGCTTTCCCCAAACACGTGTGTGCAGCCGAGCAAACCAGAGGCCTGGTCTTTAGTCTGAAAATGAGTGTTTTTGTTCTGGCTGGGCGAGGCAAGCACAGAGGGTACACAGCGTTTTATCCCAATGCTTGTATGTCCAGGCCAGGGTGTCCAGCCCCCAGTCACATCTAACCATTAAAAGGTGGGCAGTGTTGGAAGGAATCCAGTGTCCGTCAGCTCATTCGCCACTAAGTGGGTGCATCTGCTCATCCCGTTGCGTTTTGCTGGAGGAAACAAAATTGGGAAGAAGCCTAGTGGGGCTGTTTCTTGGGCTCAGCTCAGGGCCCTGTTGAGAAGCTCAGAAGCTTCCAGAAAGAAAGCTGTGGGGGTCTGGAGGCCTGCGGGGCGTCGGGCAGCAGACTGGCCTGGGAGCGGCTGAGCAGGCGGGCGGCCCCACTCGGGCGCTTTCCTCCCCAGGTATGGCTTCGAGGGCGTCATCCTCTCCATCTACGGGCTGGACCGAGAGGACCTGCACTGCGACATCGACGAGACCTGCCACTTCCAGAAGTCGGAGGCCATCTTGCGCGAGCTGGACGTGGAGAACGCCAAGCTGTACCTGGACTTCATCGTCCTTGGGGTTTTCTTCATCTCCCTGCGCCTCATCGCCTATTTTGTCCTGCGGTACAAGATCCAGGCAGAGAGGTAAAAGCCCCGGACGGCTGCAAGGAGCGAATGAGACATGTGCCCAAGGGCCCCCAAGTCGCCGCGCGGCCTGTGCCCGAGACGAGACTGGAGACCATGCGGCTGGAGGGCTCTGAGTTTGCTCCTCCACCGGCTGGGTCGGTTCTTCTCTCCATCACCTTTTCTAGCTGTAACTAGGAAGATGTAGAAAGGTTCGTTTTTTACACACAGGATTTAAAACCGCCACAGCTGGTGACAAGGGGCTCCCGCGGTAAGGCTCTTCCTGAGGCCCCGTGACGCTGCTCCTCCCTGAGGTTGCCTGGGAGCTGGATGTCCTGGGGCAGGAAGTGCGCGGGCAGGACCCCACATTAGGACTGCGGTTTCTCAAGGTCATCTTCCTGAGGTTTGTCTCTTCTCCATCCATCAGAGTCACTTTTCCGGCCAAAAGTTGATAAATTGCATTCATTTTAAGAAACCGTATCTTTTTAGCACTTGCTGAGGACTTACCCAGGGTAAATTCCACGCTCTGTGTAGAGGGACAGGGGTTCCGCCTGATGCCAGAGTGGGTCCGTGAAAGGTCCAGGTGCCACTGCAGGAGGAGTGGCTCCACACCACCCCACTCCCCAGGCAGCACTGCCCAGCTGACCACAGCTGCAGGACCAAGTGGCCACCTCTTGCAAGCCCTTTTCATTCCCATGTGCTTCTTATTTTAAGCAGACTACATTGTTTCTTCCTAACTTTCTGACCACCTTCATTTTTCCTAAAAAAGAAGATAACCCCTGTTGATTTCTAAAGAGGTCTCCTCCTGGCTCCTCTCCCACACCATCTACCTCCGCAGAACCTGGGAAGCTGAGCTTAGGGGAGTTGCAGCTGTGGCCTGGGGAGATGAGTCAGCTGGAGCAGCTGGTGAGGGGACAGCTGGACCAGAGGTGCCATGAGACCCTTCTTTTTCCAGAACACCTGTGCTAGAGCCCTCTCCTGTGAAGGCTGTGTTTTGCGTGGGCAGGTCGCTAACCTCTCTGAGCCAGTGTCCTCGCCTGTAAACAATTGCACTAGACCATGCGCAAGGTACCTTCCCGCTCCAGAAGGTTCTGAGGTCCCTCGCTCGTGGCCCCAAAGCTTTCGTTCCCTGCTGGTAGAGAATGGAACGTGTCTGGATTTTACTTCCATGTGCATCTGGTTGGAAAATGCTTAGAGAGTCTTTTTATTTTTTTCACTCCTGGATCTTTTTTAGTAAATCCAATTGAAATGCAAGTAAAGTGTAGTTTTAAGTTTGCTTGTTCTATACAGATATGGCCTTCTAGATTCAGTTTGGAACCAGGGTCAAACTTTGCCTTTATAAAAGTCTTCATTTGATTTCAAGTGTGAGACGTTGCTCACAGGGGAGGCCTGGGAATGGAGTTGGAAACGCGAAAGCCCTGTGTAGAGCCCCAGAGACCCCCAGGCGGGGCCAGCCCAGAAGCCCACCCCCACCCCCACCCCTACCCCCCGGGGCTCACGGAGCCTTCCTGCAAGGGGCAGCGCCACAGGCCCACAGGACATGTGCTCCAAAGACAGCTCCCTTCTTGCAGAGCCTGAGACTGCAGTGCCATACCTCGGCAAGTTCAGGAGGGACCCTGACGTTCCCCTAGATTTAGAATCCGTTTCCCAAGAGCACCAAAGCTCTCTGAAGGGATTCTCCGCCTAGAAGTTTCTGCTTCCCCATTTCCAGTTTCCACTGTGACAGATTACTTTTCCCTTAATAAATAAGGATCTGATTGGGGTCCTTCCAAGGGACAGATCTCTGGGACAGATCTCGGGCTGTCTGCAGCTGGAAGGGAAGGCACATGCCAACTGTGACAGGGTTATTTTAAAGGCACCCACCCCTCAGCACAGTGTTGCTGGCCCCTCCCCTGAAGTCCTGAGAGGGCAGCCAGGCAGGCCCGAGGCCTTCCACCCTCTCCGGGTGCCCTCTCCCAGGGTGGCTGTGTGTCTACAGACATGCGTGCACGGGGACGTGCTGGTGTGCAGACCTGCTCCAGGTGCGTGTCTGGTACTGTGGGTCTCTGTGTCACCCTGCTGACCTTGTGTTCCCGGGTGCTTTGGTGAACACCTGCCCCAGTGAGCTAGGTAGGACAGCAACCAAGCAGCCAGCTGCGTTTCTAAATCATGGCGGTCAAGCTGCGTGACGGCGCTTGTTCCTGTGCCGGGATGTGACCCAGACAGCGCCCCGCGTCTGATGCCTTTGGTGACTTCTGGCTGTAACATCCCTCCCAAACTCCCCACTTCTCCACTTCTACTCTGCTGAAGTCAGCAGACAATTAAGCCCCTCTCAAGCTCCTTTGAGTGGGCGGGCCTGTCCCCAGGGAGGGGAGCAGCCCTGGAGCACCTGACAGAGCTGGGGCTGGAATATGACCCCGCCACCTGGGGGCACCTTCAGGACCAGGACAGGCACCAGGAGGGTTTTAGGTGAAAACTCATGTCAGAAGCCCACAGAGGGTCGTTTTCCCCACTGGAGGTCAGGCGTGGTCGGTGTCCACCAGGTAGCAGCCACCTTCGTGGGTGTCAGAGGGCAGAGCACAGGGTGCCATGTGCTGAGCCAGCTGCCCTGCGGGTCCCTCTGTTCCTTTGCTCCTTCATCAAATCTCCCCTGATCCAGCCACGGCCTGGTGCTGTCCTGGGCCTGGCCGAGGGAGCTCCAGGCCACCCCTGCTGTGCCTGGAGGCTCCGCCCTCTTGCAGGTGAGGAAAGCCGAGGCTGGAGAGGCCAGGCTGTGCTGCGGCCCCGGAGCTAGGAAGAGCAGGGCGGGCTGGAACCCTGGGCCAACCCCATGTCCCTGCTGTTTTACTTTGCTCTGCTGCCTCCTGTTCGCCACGTGCAAACGTACCGAAGATGCAATAAGGGCAATAGTACATCAGCAGATACTCGTTCAGTTATCCGTCTTGCCAAGCAGATGGCTGAGGTGAGGGAGGTCTGCATCTCTCTCCTTTCAGGGCCTTATATCCAGTGCCCATTTGGGCATTGCTGGCTGGCCTGGGGCTGCTGTCAGCTTGTCTCAGTGGAGAGGGACCATCGTGCCCTTGCCTGGTCCCTGCACAGCACCCCTGCAGGGACTGGGGCTCGACGGGGCTGATGTGGCTGTGTGTGTCTACAGACATATGTGCACATGTGTGCACGGGCACGTGCTGGTGTGCAGACCTGCTCCAGGTGTGTGCCTGTTGGTATTGTTCTGTGACATTCTTCATCTCAGTAGCAAGGTGGTCTCTGAGCCCTCACTGCCTTCCACCCCAAAAGGAAAGAGAGCTTTCTCTCACCTTGTGCCTGCTGCAGGTGGAAAGAGTGTGGTCCTGCCCTGCCGAGGCTTCTGTCTGACGCCAGCTTAGTCAGGGGACGAGACGTCAAACAAAACCCAGAGGGCAGAGGGAGGTGTAGAGTGTATGAAGAGAAAGTCAGGTAATTTTAAGGAATAAAGACTGCTAATAAAATATTTTGTATAAAACTTTTTACTTGCATTCAGTGTCAGATGTTTCAAGTGATTGGGTTTTGCCAAGTGAATTGAGGCTGAGGTTGTTTGGAGTCTCCTTGTCCCCTGGTGAGAGCTCTGTTCATTTCCTGATGACACCTCTGCTGTGGTCCCCTTGCCCCCTCAGGGCAGGTTCTATGTGGACTGCCCCCGGTGTGAGATTTCCTACTGTCCTCCCAGAATCCTCGCCCACATCTCCTGCTGTGTTCACGTGACCCCAACCTCAAGGGTGCCAGACCAGCTCCAGGCTTGGAGCGAGGGTAACATGAAGGCCGCTGCCGGTCCTACATGCAGCAGCCATTTGAGCTTGCCCAGCTGTCCTGCCCCTTGGTCCTGCCCTCGGTCCTCTGCACCACTGCAGGGTCTCCACCCCCAGGACCCAGGGACACTCCAGCAGAGGACATCCCTGCTGGCTGCTCTAGTGCTGCAGGAAATCCCTTGCTCAGGCCCAGACTCTGCTGAGAAGCTGCTGGGGGGAGGCAGCCCTTGGGAGGTTTGGCCCCAAGTCAGGGTGAGCGGGACCAGGAGTGGGGACAGGTGCTGCCTTAGCTCCCGGCTCCTGGCATGTTGTCCAGATGATGTGCCTGAAATGGTCACTTTCCAAGGGCAGCAGTGGCTTAGGCCTGGGCTTTCAAACTGGACTCATTCCCACCTCTAGGACAGAGAGCAGGCTGGGCAGGGTCATGGCAGCCACACACAGGGGTCCGTGCAGCCCTCTAAGGGCAGGCAGGGAGGGAGGGAGCGTGGGCATGAAGGGCAGCGCCCCAGGTGGATGCACACAAGTTGTGTGCACGTGGCTCTCAGTTTGCTGCCCCCTCCCCCCGCTGCTCTCTGGGCTGCCCGCTGCCCTAACCCTCCAGCCCTTTGCATCACAGATAACCCCCTCCGCCACCCAGCAGCCTCTGGTGCCTGCATTGGGGGCTGTGCCTCCTTGGAAACTCCCTGGGAGCAGGGAAGAAAGAGGCCCCACACCCCTACTGCAGTTGGATCTCACCTTTGCAAGCTCCATTCAGCCTGTCCCGTGGCACCCCCTGACCTAGGGGGTACATCTGAGACCCCCAGAGGGTGGCTGACATCACACGTAAGAAGAACCCTCTATATAGGACCATGCACCCCCAGGATTAAGTTTTATCTATAAATTAGGCACAATTGAGAGATTAACAACCAACAACAGAACAGCCGTATCAGTGCACCATCACAAACGCCTTGTGGACATGTTCTCTCCCTCAAAATGTCTTCGGCATCTGTGCACTGTGTCTGGCCATGGGTAAGTGGCAGTGTGGATTGAAGCCTGGTGAGACCAAGATCCATGGACCAAGATCCAGGCTTCCATGGGGCTGGGCTGGGGCTCAGTGGCAGAGCGCTTGGCTAGCATGGGTGAGGCCCTGGGTTGGATCCTCAGCACCACAAAAACAAACCAGGAAACAAACAAAGGAGAATAAAGAGAAAAAAAGAACCCGGGCAGGAGGAGGCTGAGGCCCAGGCCATCCTCTCTTTTCCCTTTCTCCTTCTGTCTTCCTCAGCCGCAGCTCCTCCTCCTGTGGCCTCTCCACGTGCCCCTCAGGGCGTCCCTCCAGCAGGTTTCGGTGCCCGCCCAGCATGCCCCCCGGCCAGCAGGGAAGCAAACCTGCCTGAGGAGCGTGAGGCTGATGGTGTGAACAGGCCCAGGGTTGGGATGCCTCCTGTCCTCAAAAATAGTCCCCTGGCATCGAAAGGAGACCCCACCCACGCCCATGGGCTCCTGCGTCCCCCAGGTGAGGCAGTCCCGGCACTGGGGCAGAGCCCGGGCTCCCCCGCCTGGTGGCCACGGTCAGCGGCAGAGGCAGGACGGGAAGGAAGCACAAAGCACCCTTGTCCGTCACACCCTGGAGCCTCGGCTGGCCCCGCCCTGCTCCTTGAAGGGCCTCCCACACGAGGGGTTCACTTGCCCAGCCTCTCGCCTTTCTGGTCACCCCTTTCAGGTCCACAGCCAGGACGTGGGCACCGGTGCAGGGGTGTTAGTGTCACTGGGGAGCATGGTTTGGGGACGGCCTCTCTGCCCCGAGACCTTGGGAAAGGTGTGAGTCCAGGCCACACTATACAGAAGGTGAACCGGGAGGGTTCCTCTCGCTGGGTGGCCCGTCCTCCTGTGAGTGTCTCTGCTGAATGAACGTAAGGGAGGGTCTGCCCGGCCCTTCAGGTGCCCCGGGTCTGTACCTCGACATGGACTTCAACATGCCCACAGCCAGAGATGGTGTTTGTGTCTAGTGACATATGAGATCTGGTCTCTGGACACCTGGGAGCCCCTCACCCTGACGTGGTGAGCTGGCAGAGGTGCTGACAGGCTCAGCGGGGAGCAGTGAGCCAGGACCTGCCCTCGTGTCCTGCTTGGGGGCCTCCTCAGTGCCCCGAGTCTCCCCTGAAGGACACTCGGCCAAGCCCTTCCTGCTGGTGCTCCGAGCTGGCTCCTCACTCCTGCTCCACCTGCCACATGCAGGCATGCCTGGGGCCCTGTCCGAGCAGGGCAGTGCGTCCAGCAGGCTCCTCGAGCCTCACGGAAACTGCCAAGTGGGGGAACTGCAGGCTCGTCCACGGCAGGAGTTGCCAAAACAGCTCGCATCTTAGGGGAGCCCGACTTACATCTCCAGCTGGTGGACGCACCAGGGGTTGACGGGAAGTTAGGAGATGACAGGCTTGTGGGGGTCCTAGGATGATACCACAGTTTGGTTTTTCTGAAAATATTTTTATGGACAATGGTGGAAATTTGCTTCTTAGAACTTTACATTTTTTACACTTCTGTCATTGTGATCTCTGGGGTCTCTTCTCCATGACCTTTTGAATATGGACATCCACAACTTAATCATAAATATCTCATCATTAC